CCAGGAGGAGAAGATGGGTGGATCTCTCCCAGAATCGCCCAGTGCGGTGAGCTATGCCTGAAGCACTGGCCATGTCTCAGGTCATGCTGCAGGGGGCGCACTGAGGCCTTGCCAACACACAGAAGTGGCATTTGGGCATTCACACCAGGGAAGTGCATTGCATCCCCACACCAGCCCACGGGGTCAATGAGAGCGGGGTGCATTGCTCATTTCCGCTGCCATGTATTGCAGGATCCCAGCTCTGTGGTGTGGGGTTCCCACTGGTGGCACAGGGGATGGTGGGAGCAGGGGGTTCAAACACCCATAACCCACTGGGCCAATGGCAGGAACGTTGGTGTCAGCCCTGTGGCTTTGGCACAGTTACACCTGAGATGGGGCAAATCCGTCACTGGTGCCAAACCCACTGAGCCCCAGGGCTGTTGCACTTGGGATAGCCCTGCCCCAGCGTGACGGTTGTTTACCGTTTAATTACCTAATGGGAAGTGGGCTCTAACGAGGCCTCTCAGCTCCTGGGGGCCGGGGAGGTGGCTGGGGAGTTGCACACTTCCCTTCTTACGCCGTGACGGCGCAGCTGCTGCACAGCTCCTGCCAGGGCCGGCTTTAGGCCAATTCCACCAATTCTCCCAAATCAGGCCCCATGCCTAAGAGGGCCCCGCGCCCAGTGGCAGGGCTGCCGGGGTGGGGGCAAGTGGCTGAGAATCCCTTCCCTGGCTAGAGGCTCCTTTTTAATTTTTACTCACCCGGCGGCGCTCTGGGTCTTCGGCGGCACTTCGGCGGCGGGTCCTTCACTCACTCCGGGTCTTCGGCAGCACTTCGGCAGCAGGTCCTTCAGTGCCGCCAAAGACCCGGAGCGAGTGAAGGACCCACCGCCGAAGACTAGGAGCGCCGCCTGGTGAGTACAAGCCCCACGTGTTTTTTACGTGTTTTTTTTAGTCATCCCTGCCGGGGCCCCGTCGAAACTGTTCGAATTGGGCCCCGCACTTCCTAAAGCCGGCCCTGGCTCCTGTGGGGGCTGGCACAGGGCTCCGCGCTGGGAAGGTGGGTGGGGTGGGAACCGGTGCCCGGATTGTCTAGAGCTGGTCTCAGTCAGCCTGGGCCGGCTTTCAGGCTCATGGAGCTGGGGCCAAGGCTTCAGCTTTCGTTACACAGTAATTAAGGCTCTACCCGTGGTGCTGTAAAGAGCCGGCAGAAGGTGACTTGAGCAGAACTGATGCAGCCATGGGTCCCTGAGTCTGCAGGCAGCTACTGTGCAGACCCCATTCCCCTCCCCCGTGTTAACTCTGAAACCTAATGTTCACTGTGTAATTGGAGCTGTTCACTAGTTCACTGTAGATCGAATTCCATGACACGGGAGGGGCTGATGATAGCAGCAAGAGCTAGGCACAGACTAGGCCAGTGGCAGCTCAGGCTGGCAGCTCGGGTGTGTGGCACCTGATCAGTGATGAGACCTGGTCTATGGGTGGCGCTGACGAGCATGCACACACACCCCGTCCCATTCCCCAGGGCTCCAGGCAGCAGATTTCCACAGGAGGCAGCGCTGGCTGAGTGACAAGGAATGGTCAGGTGCTGGCCCAGGCCCAGAATGCGCCAGTCCCACCCGATGGCTCACAGCATGAGACGGGGGTGTGCAGGGCAGACGGGCTGTGGTGGGGAGCCTGCCGGGTCGGGGGGGGACTTGGAGGTATTGGAGTCTGTTGTTAGCTGCTCCCTTCTCCTGGGCCCAGGGAAGAGTTGGGAGGAGGGGGGCAGGGTTGTAGCTGGGGTAACTGGGATGCGGGGGGAGGGGCACTGAACAAAGTGCCCAGGACTTTGCCCATTTCAGGGTGTAACTGCATGGGGGCAGGTAGATCCGGGGGAGGATCGAGTGAGAGAGGCCAGGGCCAGTGCTGGGGCTGCAGAGGGGATAGATTGGGGGGTGGGGGTGGGAATCGTGCTGGCACTGAAGGGGGTAGACCCAGCGGGGATGGGGTGGCAGAGCTGGGCTGCAGCAGAGTAAACCCAGCTGAATAGTGCTGGCGCCAGTCCCTTTGGCTCATCGCATCTCTGCCCTGGCAGGGACCAAGTGGCACCGGCCTCCCAAGCCCTGAGGAGCTGCAGCCAGTGCCTGAGGCTGGGAGCCACCTGGCAGTGCCCACACGGCTGCAGATGCTCCCACCATCCTCCCAGTGGCCAGGAGCTGCCAACCCCCCTCTACCCCCTGCCTCCCTGAGCCATCGGACAAAGCCTCAGCCCAGCCTCCGTGGCACCCGCCCAGAGCTGAGGCCCAAGCAGGGAACGCGAGCTGTTCCCCACACACTGCACATTGTCTGTGCCACCCACCCTGGCTGCCCAGGCCGGCTCTGGCACAGAAGCCAGCGTCTCAGTGCCTTGGGCAGCTGCATAGGGGAACACAGAGCTCCCACAGCCCCATCCAGGAGCGGAAGCCCAGCCTCTGAGCCAGCTGCCCCACTAGCAGATCCTGCCTGGTATCCTGGCTCCCACAGCAGCCAGTTCCAGCTGCTGCTGAGGAATGGGCAGGAAGCCCATGGCCTAGGGCCATTGTGGTGTCACCTGCCTACGGAGGGGGTTTCACCACATCCCACCAGCTGGGGGCTAGCTCATATCCTGAGGCAGGACTCAGCGTAACAGGCTAGAAGTCTCTGAGGTCCCCCCGGCAGCTCTCATCACCAGCTCAATGTCTCAGCCTGCCCTCGAACGCTGCTGAGCTTCTGGCCTCAGGGACACCCTGTGGCAGGAGTTCCACACGTTTACACATGCTGGTGTGAAACAGAACAGAGCCATGGCGGGGCAGCAGAGGGCATGGCCCAGCCACAAAAGGGTCCATCTGCTCACAGACGCGCCCGGTCCTCAAGATCTCTGACCAGCCAATGGAAGTTTGTGCCAGTGATGGAATTGCTTCTAGCTGGTGTCTCATTAGCTGAACGGGTTGCTACCTCTAGGAGGAGCTTGTTTAATTTTTTGCATTTGTTGGGTTGTTTTAAGTATCCCTCATTGGATTTGAGCCCTTGATCAAACATTAAAACCAATAGCTGTTACTGCCCTCTGCTGGGTGGAATCAGGTCTGCTCTCCTGTGTGTCATAGCCCCAAAGCCCCAACTGAGGCAGAGAGGCAGCCACATCTCTCTGCTCAGCAGAATCTGGTTACCCGTGGCCAGGGGATTGTCCGGGAATGACTCCTGGGAGGGTGCTGCATGGGGAATTGGTGATGGTACCTTCTAGTGGCTGAGCCCAGAGTGGACAAGGGCCAGCAAAGGGCAAGGCTCCTGAAGCTCAAGTGCTAGGGGCCTGGGCTTTGGGCCAAGGGATCCCCTCTCCCTGTGTGTGTGTGTGGGGGGGGGAAGGTCACCCAGTAATCTCCCCTCCATTGGCTACAGCATGTGGCCCCTGGGCAGCCAGGGCAACATCAGCCTTCGCCAGCTGCCCTTGCCAACTTCACCAGTGTGGGCACTGGTGACAGCCTCGAGCACTGGCTGCAGCCCCACAGGGCTGGGGGGACCCAGTGCCATGAGTCATGTGTCCCGCAGCACCCCCCCAAGGGATCAGCCCATTCAGAGGGGATGGAATAGCATCGGCCATGCTTTCTGTATAGGAAATGCTAAGGTGGGGAGAAGCCCGTGAAGCATGGGGCTGAGGTCGCAGCATGGGCAGGGATGGCTCCGAAATCTGCCTCCTCCAACCTCCGGCCCCATCTTCACCACAAACCGGCTGGAGGAAGGGGACACTCGCTGGTGCTGGTCACCATGGCCCCCTCCCAGCCTGGCCTGTGCCCAAGCAGATGCTTTACCTCTCTCCGGCGGCGGGAATCAGGGACACCAAAGAGCAATAACCCGCTGGCTGTGGGAGGGGCCTCAGCCCATGCAAGGGGTTGGGGTGGGGCAGGGCCGGGCCGGGCCCTCGCTTCATACAGGTGTCATATACCACACGGCGGGGCTGTGGTGAACACTAAGGGGGCTCCTCAACAAGGCACAGACAAACACTGGGGGTCTCTCTCAAGCTCTCCGCCTGCACTGTCACCATTGAGATTCTGCCTTGGGTGAAGCAGTCCCAGCAGGGAACGCTGCGCCCTGCCCCACATGCTACCCCCAGCCACTAGCCCTCCCCCAGCTCTCACAACCAAGCTGCTGCCACGTTTGTGCCAGGAGACATGGGCAGGACTCCTGGGTTCTCTTCCTGGCTCTGGCACGGCCTTAGCAAGTCACTTCCATGCCCCAGTTTCAGGGGATGCAGCATGGCAGATCCTCACCTGGGAGGGGCCCTGGAAAGAGCTGGGGGCAGGGCTGGCTGCCGGGCGAATCCTGCACTCTCAGCCCCAGAGGGTGAGGGGCTGAGGGTTACAAGTTGGTCACAGCCTGGAACAAAGGACCACCACAAACACCCCTCCCACCTCCCGCTCCAGCACACTGCCAGCCTGTGCAGTCCCAGCCTCTCCCAGCAGGGGGCACTGTGGGGAGAGATTCCACCGGGACTCAGCAGACAGAACAGAGCAGAGACGGAGGCTGGTTCCTTCCAATAAATCTCTATTCTCCAGTGAGGTATAAATACATTTATTACAGGGAGCGCAGCCTGTGTCTCTGGGGGGCGAGGGTGGGGAGGGGGGGGGGTATCAGGAAGACTTGGCCTCCCACTCCAGGGTCGGGGGGGAGGGGGACTCTAACTATTTCTACTGCTCGGCTCAGGTACCCCCCCAGGTCTGATGGGGGAGCCTGGTCATAAGAACCTAAGATCCACATACACAGCCAAACTCAGGGCATGTGGGGAGGGGGCGGGGGGGATTGAGGCTGCAACAAGCCCTGCTCACCCCTCCCCGCCCCCCCAGTCGACAGGGCATCCGCCAGCTCCCAGGTGCCCCCTTTGGCAGAGTCTCCCCCTGCAGGCAAGAGGGGGTTACTGCACCCCCAAGAGCACCTGCCCCTCCAGGCAGGACAGGGGGTGCAGACTATGGGGTGCCATGGGGTGGGGATAGCTATGAGAACCTAGGATGTGAAGCCCACGAGCCCCCGGCCTGGACAGACAGAGGTTGCTGACAAATCCCCCGCCCCCTCCTGCAGGGATCTCTCCTTCTCTCGTTATTTATTAAGGCAAAAGGTAGATTGCTCCTTGCGGGGCTGCGTCTGGCTCAGGACAGAGCAGCCCTTGCCCATGCCCAGCTCTGCCCCAGAGAGGGCACGTGCGGGGGGGGAGCATTCCCCAGATCCAAGCCCATCACCCCAGCCCCAGGAGCGCCTCCTCCCTCAGCTGGACAAGAGCCAGCCACACTGGGCAGAGGGCACAACCCCGCCCCCTGGAGCCGAGCTGGGGGGCTGCGGCCATGGGTGGCAGATCTAGCTCCGTCAGCCACATGGAGAGGGGCTGGGAGCTGCTCCCTCATGGCTTGGCTCTGCCAGCCTGGGAACACCGATGGGGGTGACAGAGGATTTGGGGGAAGGGAGCTGGGCAGAGCCAGAGGGAGCAGGGGAGTTCCCCTCAGGGGGCTACAGTCCCCAAGGAGCTTTCACGGGGGCAATGGGGGTCAGGGTACGAGTGCCCCCCCCCTCCTGGCATAGGGAGGGGCAGCCTCAGGGGGCTGACAGGAGGCGTTGCCCCCCCCAGCCCAGCGACCCTCAGGCAGTGGGGGCAGGGAAGCTGTGGAGTGGGGGAAGAGGAAGAGGCTGCGGGGCGTGGCCTATGTGGGGATGACGTTGGTGGCGAAGAGTATGATGAGGATGACGATGATGGCCACAATGACGCAGATGATGGCGATCATCTTGACGTTCTTCCACCAGTACTTGCGGGCCACCTTCTGCGAGGTCGTCTTGAAGTGCTCAGACTGGTGGGAGACGTGGGGGAGTTAGCACCGTGCTGACCCAGAGCCTCCAGCCCCTGCCTGGCTTGGCCCTACGCAGCTGGACAGCCCCCCACCTGCCGGGGGCAGCTCTAACCAGAGGGATTGGGGGGGACAGCCGCACCCCCTCAGGGCGAGGCCGCACCTGGACACAGACTCACTGGGCTGGCAGATCGGGCCAGCACTGACCTTCATCCATATCTACACAGGCCACCCCAGTTCGGTGCTGGGTTACCAGACGCACCCACCGGACTGCGCTCGCTGCATCAGAGCCAGCACCGGGGGGTTCACCAGGGCATTTCCTCCCGCCGCAACTACACCGGGGCAGCGGTGGGCCTGGGCTCTCCAGCGTGGCGGGTAGAAATCCAGCTTCCACCACTTTAGCTCACGTGGGCAGATCTGTGGGCACAAGCAATGCCAGCAGGCGGGTCCACACGTGGGCGCTGCCCCAGCTCCGCTCCTCCAAGCCAAACCGGCGCCGGGAAGCTATGGGCACGTTATTCCAGAGCTGACCACCAGAGGGTGCTTGTGTTTCGATTGGCAGCTGCTGGCACGGGCCCGGGCTGAGTGCTGAGAGCCTCAGATAAGCAGCGCCAGCGCGGGACAAAGGGCAGCGCAGGGACAGTGTCTCGCTGGCTGCCAGGGTTTATCAGCGGCTGAGCAAACAGTCCCGCCCCGCGGGGAGCGGGCGTCATGCAATGCACGTGGGCAGGGACCAGAGGACTGGCAGGAATCCGAACTAGAGTGAGGCGTCACCCACCCACCCACCCCCGCCGAGCAGCCCTGTGCCTGCTTGGCACCGTCTCCATGGCAGCAGCACGCCCAGCTGAGCCTGTTGGGGCAGCAGCGGAGCCCCCAGAGCGAGGTTAGGGGTCATGGCAGTGCCCAGGCCTGTTTTAGCTTGGGTGGCACCAGAACCAGGGGCACCCAGTGCCAGGCCTTTGCCCCAAACCCCCTATCGGGCTCCAGCCCCCACCCCCTGCAAATCAACTCCAGACTTGGGGTCCCCATGACCTCACCAGGAACCTCACGAGCACAGGGTCGGGGTCTCCCCCAGCCTGCTGCTCCCCGGTCCCCAACCCCACCAGGGCTCACCGTCGCCTCCAGGTCCTCGGTCTTGTTCCGCAGGTGGTCCAGGTTCTCGCCCCGCGCCAGGATCCGCTCCACGTTCTGCGACATGATGTTTTTCACCCCCTCCACCTCGCTCTGCAGGTTCTTCACTCGGTCGGTCGCCATCCCGCTGCCAGCAGTGCCCTCCTGTAGGGAGAGCGCCCGCCAGGGGTCAACAGGAGAGCGGCTGCGGGAGCAGCACACACGGCCCAGGCAAAGCCTCCGGGGGCCCAGAGAACGGAGGTCCAAAGGCGAAAGGGGGAGGGGCCCTCGAGAAGGGGCCCAGCTGCAGCCCTGTCCCTCTGAGGAGCTCAGAATGCTTCACAGACTCTGTTCGAGCCCACAGCTTACCACAGGAGAACAATCTTGTGGGGAAACTGAGGCAGTTGACATAGCAAACCCAAAGGCAGGGGCAGAACCAGGAATAGAACCCAGGAGTCCTGTCTCCCAGCATCCCCACGCAGCACCAGGAATAGAAGCAGGTGTCCTGGCTCCCAGCCCCCTGCTCTAACCACTGGACCGCAGCACCTCAGCCAGCATAAGGAAGGGAGAGGAGACAGCTGGGGAAGGAGGGTGCCCGGCCCAAGGCCAGGGGGGTCCAGAACACCGAGGCAGAGCTGTGGGCACAGAGGCTGAGGGAGGTCCCATGGGGCAGGACTGGGCTGGGGGGAGCTCTCTGGGCAATGGGGCAGAGCACCCCCAGGGTGATTGCCCTTCCCCTCCTCCCCCCAAAACTTATCACTGCAGAATGTCAACAGGGAACTTCCAGCACCCGCCTCACGTCTCCACCGCCAGCCGGACTCGCCCAGCCGGTCGGGTCGGTCCCAGCAATCTCCCCTCCTGCAGTTCTGCCCTCTGCCTGCAGGGGGCATGGGGCAGCAGGTGTGACACCGCCAGCCCAGGGGGGCCCAGGGCAGAGCCCTCTGCAGGGGTGGAGAGGGGGGCTGTCTCCAAAGCTCTGCTTGGTCCTTGCCTCCTGCGGAGAAGAGACCCCGCAAACTCAGCCCACCCAGGGACCTGGGACAGCCCCAGGATGGAAGCACCCCCTGAGCCTGTGAGACCCCCGGGGGGGGGGGAGCAGGGTCAGAGCCACCCCCTCGTCTCCTCCCCCTCCTGCTGAGCCTGGTCCAAGCGGCTGGGCTGGTCAGACCCAGGCATGTCGGGCTGGGCGGGTCCCAGGCCGGAATCTCAGAAACGCTGCCCTGGGCCAGCGCCCAAAGTACGTCAGGCACCAGGGAGCAGAGCCAGCCCAGGGTAGCGCTGCCCAGCACGGGCCGGAGGGAGCCCCATGGGAGCCCCAGGGTCTGTCTGAGTCCAGCAGCCCGCCGAGAGACTCCCCTTTAGACTGGCCCTGGCAGGCAGCAAGACTGCCATCTCCCCTTTCCGGCCATTCATAGCAGCTCACCCAGGCCCCCCCTCAACCCCCCAGCACCTTCTGCATTTAGCCCCCACCATGCCGATCCCCCAAATCTGACCCCGTTTTTAACCCAGAACAGGTCCAGAGGTGGCCAACATGGATCTAACGGGGGGTGCAGAGACCCCCACCCCACCCCTGGGGAGGTGGAACCCCAGGCCCCCAGCAGGAAGCAGACAGCAGAGGGCCCAGAGCACCCCTCCATTCCCACTGCGTGGTCCCTTTAAGGGAAACCTCCCCAAATCCCTACCGCACCCCTCACTGCCAGGGCACCTTGGCAACATCTGGGGCACCAGAGCTCCTTCCCTTAACCCTTCAGATCCCAGGCAGCTCCCTCCCCCCCCCCCCCCCCCCCCCCCCCCCGGGCGGCCCCCGGCCCCCCCCCCCCCCCCCGGGGCTCTGGACTGGGGTGTCCTGCTCAGCCAGCACCGGGGCCAGGAATTAAGCCCTTCTCTCCTGACTCAGGTGAATTAGTGACCCCAGATGCAGGGAGCTGGACGTGCCAGCGAGCCTGGGCTGGGGGGATGGGGACATTAATCTTTTGCCTTCTGCCCATTTGCTTTGCAGCTGCTCACAGACAGCTCAGATGGACAGACCATGGCTTAGAGCCTCTGTCCCCCTCAGTGGGGGATCACGGCTAGGGGAGCCTCAGAGGCACCAGTCCTTTGGCAACCACCCCCTAAAGACCCCCCAACCCCCAGTCCCCTGCATCTTCCCAGCCCCCGCAAGCCCCACACAGCAGGCAGCTCAGGCCAGGAGCCCCCAGGGTCTGTGGCCCCTTTTAGACCCAGCCCAGCTGTAAAGGATGCTATGGCCTCCATCCACTCCACCCGCCAACGCTGCCCCCAAACGCCCACTGAGCCATCCCCTCTCCCCCACATCCCACCCTGGCCCCAAAACAGCTCTGCAGTTCCAGGGGCCTGTCTCCCACCTGTGCCCGGCTCCGGCTGCAGAACAGGGCTTGGGCACTGCAGTCCCCCAAGGGCGCAGGAACCGTTAGGCCACCCACTTCCTCTTTCTAGGCAGCTCTGCAGGGATCCGGGGGGGGGGGGGGGGGGGGGAAAAGGGGCCCCCGCGCGGGGGGGGGGGGGGGGAGAAAAGAGAGGGGGCCATGCAGCTCAGAGCCTGTGGATCCATGGGGGGCCTTGGCACTGGGCACGGGACACAGCCAGGAGCCTGTTACTTTGGAGGTGGGGAGTATCTCTCTGGGCTCAGGAATGACCTTGCTCCTGCGCTCCCTTTGAGACGCTGCAGACCCCCACCCCATTCCCTTCCTGGAAAAGATCCCAGCTGCCCCTTCCCCTCCCCACGCTGGCTGCAGCCAGCTCCCGCCCCACAGCAATCGCTACCTGCACCCAGCCTCTGCTTACCCAGGCACTGCCTGGCCGTCACCATGGAGACAGCCCAGGGAGCAGCCTGCAGCGCCGAGCGCGCAGTTCTCAGGCCCCGCTTCCTCCCTCTGTCACCCGGATCCTGTCCTGTGCCCCCCTCCCCCCAGCAGCCACCAGACAGGGTGGGCCACGCTCAGCTACACCACAGTGGGTGTATGGCCCAGCTGGGAGCCAGGACTCCTGGGTTCTCTCCCCAGCACTGGAGAGGAGTGGGGAGGGGGGGTTAAACTCAGGCAAGTCACTTAACACCCCCCCCACCCGCAGCGGAGAAGAGGCGGGGGGGTTGTTAGCCAGGCGGGATCCCCCCGCCCCCAGCAGCTGTTTCCAGTCCGCTCCCCCCCCGGCAGCCGCAGTACAGCCAGCTCCTAAGCCGGTCCCGGGCCCCTCCCCGCGCGGAGTCACTCCGGATCCCCTCCGGGCACCGGAGACCCGTGTAAAGGGGGGGGGCAGTAATGCCCCCCGCCCGCGTCCCCAATCCCGGGCACTCACCATGCTCCAGGGGGCTCCGCTCTCGCCTCTCCGGACACTTCCTGGTGCGCGAAGTTTCAGCCCAAACTTCCTGCTTCCTGCAGCCCAGCCCGGCCCGGCCGGTCCCCAGGTGCGAGGGGCGGGCCTGCCTCCTGCCGCTGCCTTTAAAGAGACACGGGCCGGGCCCGGCTCCCCCAGGCGGGGGGACCCAGGGGGTTCGGGTCCCTCTGCCCCGGCACAGAACCCAGACATTGGGCCCCCAGTGATGGGCTCCAAGCTTTGCCTGCCCCCCGTGTCCCAGCACCCCCAGGTCACACCCCCCCCCCAGGTCATTCACAGTCCTGTTCAGGAGATCCAGACCCCCGGGGCAGCCCCGATCCCAGCAGGTTGGTTCTGTGCGCTGGGCTAGTGCTTTAGGGTTAAGGCTGGGGCCTTCCCCCACAGTGGGCTGTGGCGGGTCAGGAGTGAGGGGCATTGGCAGAGTTGGGGGTCCAGGAGTAGCAGGGGGGTGAGGGGCATTGGCAGAGCTGGGGGCCCAGGAGTAGCTGGGGGCTGTGAGTCAGGAGTGAGGGGGATCGGCAGAGCTGGGACAGGAGACTCTCCTGGGTGGGGGGAGCTCTGCCCACTCCATGTCCCATCCCAGCCTGGCTAAGACCAGCTGGTACAAAATGCTCCTAGGGCTCAGGCCAGGGCACATCTAGCGGAGGTGGATCTAGATAGAAACGGCCCTGCCCTGGCACATGGAGCTGATCAGAGCCCAGCACTGCTTGGAGCAGATGTCCCCAGAGCTGAGGCTGCTGAGTGGAGCTGGTGCGGACCCAGATCCAGCCGTCACTGAGTGGGACAGGCTCTGCTCGGCTAGCAATGGTGGTGCCTCGCTGGCAGACTGTAGGCCCGGACACATTGGCAGGGTCTGGGTGCGTGGGTGGGGACTGCTGGGCTGCTGCCCCACTCTGGGGAGAAGCCCATCTATCTCCAGCACTAACACAAGTGCCCATCTCCTGCTTGTACACACCCCCAGGGGGTGTCAGGCCCCTACCCTGAGTTTGACAGAGAGAAGGTTAAACTCTGCCCTCAGGGGGTACTGGGCTGAAGAGGAAGCAGCTGAGGTGGGGGATGGGCCCCAGCAGCTACTGTCCCCCCCTGGGTTTGGAGATGTTGCCGGTGGGGAGGACAGTGGGGGGGCCGGGTCCTGCTGCTTGTGGGGCTCTGGAGGATGCTGGTGCATGGATTGATGGTTTTGCACTGCCTAGTGGCTGCCTGAACCTGGTCTCCCAGCAGCCCCCAAGCCCTGTGTCGCCCACCCTGCCTCTGGCACTGGTGCAGCATGGGGATTCCCGTTACCACCTCAGCCCCTGCTCACGCATCTTCATCGCCTGATGGGTGCAATCCCGACATACCCTGCAGCCTCCCCACCCCAATAGCCCCAGCTCCCTGCAAACAGGAGAGCCAGCAGGGGTCACAGGGATGCAGCCCCTCTCACAAGAAGGCCTCTGGTGCCATGCTGCCCTCTCTCTGGGTTAAGGAGGCTGCTCCCCTCCAGCCTCCATCCCCCAATCACCTCCACAGCCAGGGCATCTCCTCTTTCTTTTCTGTTACAGTCGTAATCAACTCTCATACTCCAGGGTTGATGGCCCCAAGGGTCAGGCAGGAATCCCTATCCTGCCATACAGTATCATGCAACAACTACGGGCAGCATGGGGAATTGGGTTTTCCAGCGCTCCTGAAGCAGCTCGTGCTGAAGATAGGTATGGGAGTAGATGGCTTAGGGTTGATCTGCTCTAGCCCTGCCTGCTCCCAACACGGAGCACTTTACTTAAACCTGATGAAAACTGGCCTGACGTAACTGAGGGAGGGAACGGGACAGACGCAAGCCCAGGAAAAGGCTATTTCAGTGCAGTGTTTCCAGATGGCTGAAGCGGAGCCCCGCTTTGTGGGAAATTAATCCAGCCATGCCGCCCTCCCCCCCGCCAAGCCCTTTGTACTCTGATCCTTCCTCTCCCCTCTGGAATAGTGAAGTGTTGCCATTTAAAGTGACAGCAGTGGACACCAGAGCTAGCCCTCACTGGAACAAACGGGGCGTTCATCCCGCATGCTCGCTGCTATTGCTTTGGGCCCCCGGCAAACTCAAGTAGGTGTCGTTCCACTGGTTACCCCCGGGGCAAATCCTTCATCTCCAAGCGATCGGCTCAGGCTCTCTGCAAACTCAGGCAGTTTTCCTCAGGGTCACCAGGGAAAAGTTTTCTTCATACCGAGAACAGATAGAGGCTGGATTTTGTTTTGTAGCAAAAGCCGCAGCTGTGGGAAACGTTGGGGAGATCTCTCTGTCCCCGTCCCCCGACCAAGCTGGTCCTTTCTGCCTCCTCCCCCTCAGGTCGGAGCCACAGAGAATGTAGCATTTTTGGGCTACGTATAAATATTTGCCTCTTCCCTTCAAAGTGGACGAGCCTGAAGAACCAGCCAGGCTGCACCTGGCCGAGCTCTGCAGTGGGAGCAAAAGGTGTTGGGGTTTGTACAGGGCTGGGGAGCAAAGCAAAGACCAGGCCGTGTCGGCCCCTGCTGGCAGGATGGAAATGAAGATTCAGCAGCAGATGAGAAAGGCAGTTGGGTGGGAGGGAGACGTGTGGTCGGTGGTCCTGCAGGCCACACCCCCAGCAGTCTCTGTTTACAGCTTCCCAGCCCTGGGTAATTGTCAGTATTAAAAGTCTGTGTTGGTTTATGACTCTGTGTTCGGTGACCCAAAGCAGCAGTGCTGGTACCTGGCCCTTTCCTGCAGGATCCCAATGAGATTTATCAATATGAAGGGCCTCCTGCCCGCCCCCCACCGAGAGGAGGGGTCAGTCTCATCAACCCCATTCTACAGCAGGGGAAACTGAGGCATTGAGAGGGGAAAGGCCAGAGTCACACAGTGAGTCAAGAACAGAACCCAGGAGGGTTTTATTAGGTTTGAGCCCCCAAGCCCCTGCTCTAAGCCCTAGATCACACTCCCTTCCCAGAGCCAGGCACAGAACCCCACTCCCAGAGCTGGGAAAACCCAGGAGCCGCCCCCCCCAGCTCTAACCACTAGACCCCACTCCCCTCCCCGGGCTGGGAACAGAACCCAGCACTCCTGCCCCCCAAGGAGTCTTCCCCCAGCCCCCACACTAGCTCCGCCTGGTGCCTGTCACAGAAGCAGGGGGACAATCTGATTAGGGCCCCACTCCTAACGACTGTCCCCTTATCTCAAGAGTTACTCGTGATAAGAGGGCGGCCTGTTACCCAAGCCGGCGTAAGGCCGTTACTGGGCAGGGACCCCAGTCTGCCGGCCGAGGAGCAGCAGCATAAGCGGTTCCAGCCCCGCGGCCCCGGCCCCGGCCTGCCCGACTCTCCAGCGCCGTTCACCCACCACCCCGCCCAGGCGGCCAGCAGGGCCCGGCCAGCCGCGCAGAGGCCACGTGGAGCGGTCGGGCCCCAGGCCAATTAAAGCCCCCGGACTCGGAGCTCAGGGTGGGACCGAGCCCGGGGGGTCCCGGGGGCGCCAGGACCCCGAGCGCGGGGCTGTCTCGAAGCGGGAGAACCCAGGCGTCCACAGGGCCCGCGGGGGGGAGGGGCCGCGCCGCGGGAGGAGGCGGGGCTGGAGGGGACCCTGGACGCCTGGGTTCCGCCCGGCTCAGCGCTGGGAGTGGGGAGGGGACCCCCCGAGCAGCCCCTCGGGGCTGCCGGAAAGCGCCGCCGCCCGCCCGGCGCTTGCGACACTCCCCCGCCCACCGCTTTGCGGCCGCCGCGCTGGTGACGTGTCTGCGGCCAAGGGGCTCGCTCTGGAGCGTCTCCTAGCAACCGGGGCGGGGCGCTGGGAGCCGCGCGGAGATGGAGCCGCAGCGGGGCCGCGCGGCAGGTACCGGGGCTCGCAGCCGGACTCCTGGGTTCCCGCCGGGCGCTGCGGCCCCCCTCCCCTCCCGCCCGGGACACCCGCCCCGCGGCCCGTGAAGAGGGCCCGGCCCGGCCCGGGGCAGGCAGCTGGGTCCCGCCTGGTTCTCAGTCTGCCCGGGGCTGCGGGTCGGGAGTGAGGGGCACCGCAGAGCTGGGGGGAGCCTGGGGCTGCGGGTCGGGAGGGATAGCTCAGTGGTTTGCGCATTGGCCTGCTAAACCCAGGGTTGTGAGTTCAATCCTTGAGGGGGCCACTTAGGGATCTGGGGCAAAAATCAGTCCTTGGTCCTGCTAGTGAAGGCAGGGGGCTGGATTCAATGACCTTTCAAGGTTCCCTTCAGTTCTATGAGATAGTGAGGGGCACCGCAGGGCCGGGTTAGCAGGGGCTGTGGGTCAGGAGTGAGGGGCACCGCAGAGCTGGGTGGGGGCCCGGGGCTGGGGTAACGGGGCTGCGGGGCGGGAGTGAGGGGCGCTGTTGGGTTACTGTGGCGTCTAGAGCCCTCACTGTCATGCTGTCTAGGATGCTAAGAACCTCCTGCCCCCCGAATAATGAAGTGACCTGTCCTGTCTTCCCCCTCCACACACACACACCCCTGTTGGTTTGCAGCTGCCCTGCTGTCAGAGTCCTTGCCCGGCCGGAGGCGGCGTGAGGAGGTGCAGGGGGCGCCGGAGCCCACACAGCAGAGCAGCAGTTGGGCCAAGCGCCTGCTGGGCTTCGAATGGGCTGATGTGTCCAGCTGGCACCGCTTCGTCTGCCTGCTCAACAGACCCACGGACCCGGCCTCCCTGGGCATCTTCCGCTTCCTGTTCGGTGAGTGCCCTGGGCAGCGCACGTGCCCCTGGGATCCCTGCTCCTCTGGGGAGCCCGACTGGTGAGAGGGCACCTCAGAAATCGTCCTGTGTCCCCGGGGAGCTCTAACCTCCCTTGAATGCTCAGGCAGTTGGTGCTCAGTTTATTCCCCCTCCCTCAAGCCCAGCCTCCCAATCTCAGGGCACTCCAAGTGGGTCAGTGTTGTTCTCCCCGTTTATGGGAGGGAAACTGAGGTACAGAACCGCTAGAGGGAGAGCAGAGCTGGGGAGACGACCCAGGGGTCCTGGTACTTTGCTCTCACTGCTCCTTGTGCTGCATGGGGTCCAGGAGCGGAGAAGTGCAGGAGTCCCTCATCCCCTGGCCTGTCTCCGGGCCCAGCGCTGTCCCTGCTTAGCAGGTCCGTACAGAGGAATCCATCCCTGGGTTACCCAGCCCCCGCTGACCAGGCTGCCGTTTGAGAGCGCCCACGTGGTGCTGCTGCAGGCCCTGTCCAGAACCTCTGACGCCCCCCAGCCAGCCACAGGCTCCCCACATCCTGTCCCACCCACCCTACCCTGCCCTGTCACTGTCTGGCTGCCAGCTGGTTCCGCTGGTCGGCCGTTGGGGGCGGGTCCAATCCCTGCTCCCAGCCCTGGGCAGGGCTGGTTTTGCAATGTGGTTAGGGCCAGTGTCCTCTGCTTGTGGAGGTGGGGAGGGACTTTGGCCTCAGAGTGCGGGGGAGGGGAGGCCCCAATGGTCAGGAGGGAGCGGATGTGGTGGTCCCAGCCCTGCTTCCAGTGAGATCCGACGGGTGTCCTCCCCTCTGGCCCCCCAGTGCTTGGACAATGGAGTCTCCCCAACCCCCTGACTCTAGCCATCCCATGGTGGGGCAGTGCAAGGCATCTTCCCTCTGCCCCCAGGGCTCAGCCTAGGGATCCAGAAGCCATGGCCAGCCCAGGCTCCACAGCCGCCAGCCCAGGCCCCACAGCCTCGTGCCAGGGTGGGTAGCTGTGCCCGCGTGGTTTGCGATGAGCCTGCTGGGGAAGGGGTTAAACCCTCCATGCTGTGGGGGGTGGGGGTCTCCCTACGAGGGGGCTCCTGGACTCGGATGAGGAGGGTCCTGGGGCCATGCTGTGAAGCAGGGACAGGCTGAGTCAGCACCTGGGTGGGAGAGCTTTTTGGAAAAGGGGGCTCAGTCAGGGGCGCTGTCCTCTCGGAGTCCAGGCTGACCCCACTGTCCTAGCACGGTGCTAGGGAGAGAGCTGGGAGCCAGGACTCCTGGGTTCTGTCCCCAGCTCCAGGAGGGAAGTGGGTTAGAGTGGGGGTGGGGGAGTTGGTAGCCAGGACTCCTGGGTTCTCTGCCCAGCCCTGCTGTCTTACCATGGGCAAGTCCGTTTCCCCTCAGGCCTGGCACCTTTCACAAGTGCTGCTGCCTATGACAGCCTCTCCCAGTCCTTAGTGGCCCCACTGGACCCCGGGGTTCCAAGGAGGCTCCCTGCAGAGGCTGGGTCTCCAAGCTGCTCTCTGGGCCAGACCTGGGGCTGCCTCCCGGGGCGGGCGAGTCCCTCTGGCCCTTACTGCCAGCCCGGGGCAGGATAGCAGGATCCCTGCTGGGCTGCTACAGCCAGTGAGGTCAGCCCTGTGGGGAGGCAGGACGCCTGGGTTCCTGAGGGTGCCCTATGGCGAGTCCCATCCCCTTGCTGTGGCTCAATTTCCCTGCCTTGGAAAGGGGGGTCGCTGCCCTGAGCCACCGGGGGGGTGGGATCCCCGTGCGGGTATTTGCTGTTGGGCCGGTGCTTGGTGGGGTGGGGGTGGCTCCCGGCACAGCTTCCTTGAGCCTGCCTCATCGCCGGGCTCCTGTGCCCGGACTGGGCCAGGTGGGCAGCAGGGCAGTGCCCAACTGCATGGGCTGCTGGCCCCAATCCTTGCTCTGTCTCTGGAATGGCCAAGCCTGAGGGGCCCAGTTAGCTCTGGGCTGGACGTGAGGGATCGAGGGTGGGGGTCAGGGGGACCCTCCCCATGACTGACGCTGCCTCTGCCCGTGTCTCAGGGTTGCTGATGGCCCTGGACATCCCCCAGGAGCGCGGCCTGAGCTATCTGGACCATAAGTACCTGGATGGGCTGGAGGTCTGTCGCTTCCCCCTCTTCAACTTCCTGGAGCCCCTGCCGCTGGACTGGATGTACCTGCTCTACACAGTCATGCTGCTGGGTGAGGGCACGGGGCCGGGACTGGGCACTGTGGGTTGGGCTGGGGGAATCGATGGGGGCTGGAGGAATTAGGAGATCTGGGAGTGTGACATTCCCCTCTGGTGTTGTCTGGACCGGTGATCTGCTAGGTCACCCCAATCCTTGACTCTGGGAGCCAGCCTTACCCTGCTCTGCGGTGAGAACCCCCACTCCTGGGCTGGTCACGCACAGCCTCTGGCATGTAAGCTGCTCCCAGCTCTTTGCAACTGAATGACACATGTCAGTATCTCTGGTCCCAGATGCAAGCCTAGGAACCTCCGTCTTGCAGTGCCCAGTTATGCCCGCTGGACCCTGCAAGCTTATATGAGTTCGTCAATTTAACAAAGAAATTGATCTGTACCAGGCTTGTTATCCCAAGGGGAGTCTCTGACACACTGCAAACCAAGCACATTGCTTCAGGTAGAATAAACAGATTTATTAACTACAAAGGTAGATTTAAGTGATTTTAAGTCAAAGCATAACAAGTCAGATTTGGTCAAATGAAATAAAAGCAAAACGCATTCTAAGCTGATCTTAACACTTTCAGTGTCCTCACAAACTTAGATGCTTCTCACCACAGGCTGGCTGGTTACTTTTCAGTGAGGCTCTCCCCTTTGACCAGCGTTTCAGTCGCTTGGTGGTGGTGTCTGTAGATGGAGGTGAAAGAGAGAGAACATGGCAAAGGTCTCTCCCTTTTATCATGTCCTTTCTTCCCTCATGGCTTTGCCCCCCTCCCCCCCCTGAGTCAGGTGAGCATCACCTCATCGCAGTCCCAGACTGACCAAAGAAAGGTGGGGGGGTAACTCACTGGAGAGTCCAACAGATCCTTTGTTGCTGCCTAGGCCAGTGTCCTTTGTTCCTGTGAGGCTGGGCTGGGTTTGTCCCATACATGCCCCGATAAGGTGTGAACTGTCTCTCTGCTCTTGGAGAGTTTTTGCCTGGGCTTGTTTTAAGCCATGAAGACACATTTTTCATCCTCATAACTATATACATGAGATTATAACCTACAACATCACTATAACAACACTGCTCAGTGCATCATGAGCCTTCCAAAGACACCCAACATGACAAACTTTGCATTGTATGCCACACAATCATTTTACAAGGATGAACATGGAGGTGCAGGGTGTCACACCTCCCCTCTTAGTTTACTGCAAGAGGGTTAGTCACTGACTAGCTCGAAGGCAGTTTGTTGTTATAGTTCTCTTGGAAACCAGCCATTAAGGCCATGAGGCAGCGTGCCTCAGTTTGCCCATTCACACACAGCAAACCAGGTTTTTTTATGGTTTCTCTGCTGTGATAAGCTTTAAACCTGTTTAGAGGTGTTTATTGAAAAGTAGCATTATCATAAGGTTTAGCATCCATGTCAAAATACTTATCCCCAAAACTTAACATTAATACCAAAATTTTTTATCACAGATGGAGCATGCCTTCTGTTCAGGTAGTCTAGTTTGAGGTTAGTTTGTTCATTACCCAGGGTGTCCTTTGACTCTCTCCTATGTAATCAGTCACTGGCTTTTCCTTTCCTCCAGGGTTCCCCTCTGGGTTGGTTCTTAATTTAATAATGTTTCTGGCATTTTGCTATCTCAGGGTCTGGCAAGATAAGGGTCCAGGGGGATCCTGCACATTGACTGACCCTTTGGGGAGCGGTCTCCCAGCCCCAGGACTGTACATATGTAGGAAATCCAGCTCCCCCTTTGGGGTTACCTGGTGTTTCCCCCTCCCAGCACTGGGTCCTTCCCTGCCCCCTAGAGGGCTGTGATCTGTGCTCTCTGTGCTAGGTGTGTTTACCCTTTGATCAGATTCACCCTTTCCCAGCAGCTCTCCCATAACTGCTCTCTGTGTCTCACCAGCCTGGGGGAAAGCACCCCCATTCTGTGAGTTGGGTCGTCTGTATTCTGACAGACTACCCCCTGGCCATTTCCTGGTCTCAACTCCTCTGCTGTTACAAAAACAACGAGGAGTCCTTGTGGCACCTTAGAGACTAACAAATATATAAGATATATAAGAGTACATGAAAAGATGGGAGTTGCCTTACCAACGAACATGTACTAACATGTACTGTTATATCTTCCTACTGTATTTTCCACTCCATGCATCCGATGAAGTGGGTTTTAGCCCATGAAAGCTTATGCCCAAATAAATGTATTAGTCTCTAAGGTGCCACAAGGACTCCTCATTCTTTTTGCTGATACAGACTAACACGGCTACCACTGAAACCTGCTGTCACAGGCATTGGAGCTGCATCTTGATGTAAAGAGACACAGTTACTTTCCAAAAACTTCTCAGAAATAGCATCCTGAAAAATGGGAACCTGGATTGGGGTACCTCCGCCACCCCTTTGTCTGTCCCTGAGAAGTCAGCTGTGTGACTGCTCCCCTCCAGGAGGTCAGTCACACAGTTCCCTCTCAAAACCTGGGTCACAGGCTGAGTGCCTGGGTCCACAGATGCTGACCCAGCCATTCTCCTAGTGTCCTGGGCATCCTGCCCCAAGTGACTAGTGTGGAGACATTCCTGTGCCCCCACTATTCCTTCCCCAGTTTCCTCCTCTGCAGGGCCGGCTCTGGCTTTTTTGCCGCCCCAGGCAAAAAAGCCTCCGGCTGCCCCCCCCCGCGCGGGGAGGGGGGGGAGGGCGGCCGGAGCCCCGGGGGGAGGGCGGAGAGCTCGGCGGGGGCTCCGCTCTCCCCGGCGGCCGGGGGGAGGGCGGCCGGAGCCCTGGGAGGAGGGCGGAGAGCCCGGCCGTGGCCCCGCTCTCCCCCCGGCGGCCGGAGCTGGAGCGCCGCGCCGCCCCACTCCAGGTGCCGCCCCAAGCACAAGCTTGGTGGGCTGGTGCCTGGAGCCGGCCCTGCTCCTCTGGACCCCTCCTAAGACACATTTCTCTGTGCTCCCTAGGGAGGGTTTTATCTTTTGTTTAGCTGCAGAACTCTGCCAGCTAACAACTGGGACAGTTTCCTTAATCCCGGACAACCCCTCTCCTGCCCCTGCACCTGAGGGCATGTTGCCTTCTGCTGGAAAGGAGCTAGTCTCAGCCCCTCCCACACTTGGAATTACCCTGCTTCCCTGTGTTACAGAGTCACAGGAATCCTCATCCACTTTAGTGGTTTCTGAGATCCCCTGCCCGTTCTCTGGGCTCTCCTCTGGGACACATTTCTCTCTGCTCCCTAGAGCCGGGTTTGCCTTTGGTTCAGCCGCGACCTGCTGGCAGCTAACAGCCTGGACAGTTCTCTCCCTGGCCGGCATCACACCCCCATCCCTTCCCGATGTGGTGTTGCCTCCAGCTGCAGTGCAGGTGTTGGTCTCAACCACCCTCCCACCTGGAAGGATGTGGCTTCCCCCTGCTGCAGAAGAATCAAGGAGACTCTCTCCCATTCCTCAGCAGTTCCTGAGACCGTACCCTTTCCCTCGGGGGTCCCAGCATAACACTCCCTCCTGCTGCAGGCAAATACTTTAACCTGAGCTACGCGGAAAATATCATTACCCAGGAGCAGGTCGACTAGGAGATGTTCCATCTCCCCCACAGTCAAAACACTTTCCAAACCTTCCCACACCACATGGATTTTAGCTAATGGTACAAGGAATCTGCTTTCGCCCAGGGGTAAACAGTGAGGTGCCAAAGTTTGCAGATGATACTAAACTGCTCAAGATAGTTAAGACCAAAGCAGACTGTGAAGAACTTCAAAAAGATCTCACAAAACTAAGTGATTGGGCAACAAAATGACAAATGAAATTTAATGTGGATAAATGTAAAGTGATGCACATTGGAAAAAATAACCCCAACTATACATACAATATGATGGGGGCTAATTTAGCTACAACTAATCAGGAAAGAGATCTTAGAGTCATCGTGGATAGTTCTCTGAAGACGTCCACGCAGTGTGCAGCGGCAGTCAAAAAAGCAAACAGGATGTTAGGAATCATTAAAAAAGGAATAGAGAATAAGACGGAGAATATCTTATTGCCCTTATATAAATCTATGGTACGCCCACATTTTGAATACTGCGTACAGATGTGGTCTCCTCATCTCAAAAAAGATATACTGGCATTAGAAAAAGTTCAGAAAAGGGGTTTGGAACAGGTCCCATATGAGGAGAGATTAAAGAGGCTAGGACTTTTCAGCTTGGAAAAGAGGAGACTAAGGGGGGATATGATAGAGGTATATAAAATCATGAGTGATGTGGAGAAAGTGAATAAGGAAAAGTTATTTACTTGTTCCCATAATATAAGAACTAGGGGCCACCAGATGAAATTAACGGGCAGCAGGTTTAAAACAAATAAAAGGAAGTTCTTCTTCACACAGCGCACAGTCAACTTGTGGAACTCCTTGCCTGAGGAGGTTGTGAAGGCTAGGACTATAACAGGGTTTAAAAGAGAACTAGATAAATTAATGGAGGTTAAGTCCATTAATGGCTATTAGCCAGGATGGGTAAGGAATGGTGTCCCTAGCCTCTGTTTGTCAGAGGGTGGAGATGGAGAGCAGGAGAGAGATCTTATACTGGCCTTTGGAACCACACTCTGCTTAACCAGAGAGATCTGGGCCCCTGTATCCCTCTGCCCCAAGCATTCCCTGCCTTTAATTTGAACAGCCAAAACATGCTCCATATCTGGTTCTGCAGAGGCTACGTCACAGAACCAATATGATAGGTTTCAATTGCCTGGGGGGGTTCTGTGTTGAGGACAGCAGAACTAACATGAGCTATTGGTTGCCTGCTTCCTCCTAACACAGGGCATTTATTCCTCAGGTGATTAGTGGAATTACACCAATAACACCAGGGCTCTTCTGCTTTTACAGGAGACTTGGGATGAGAGTTACCAGTAGAGGAATGGTTTTGGGGTAAGAGTGTTTAGGCTCCCAACCCTGTTCTCTCTTCCCAAGGGCAAAATGGGATCCTCCCTTTCCACCAGTTTTAAACCTCTCTTTCTGTGGCCTGCCCTCAATAGACGCCTGATTCTGTTCGAAGGCATCAGCTAAAAAATCCATCTCTTCCACAGACTTTACATCTTTGTCCCATAGACACTGCTTTACATCCGCCTTAATATGCTTATGAAATGCTCGTGAGCAACAAGATCCAACATTCCCTCAAAACTTGCCACCTCCTTACCCTGCACCCATTTCCCCAACAAATCTATCATTTGGTTTACATATTCCCCATTACTCATCCCAATAGCCCTCTTCAGATTCCTAAATGTAACTCTATGTTTCAGGGGTAATCTGAAAACTTCGCAAAACAGTATCTTTAAATTTACGATAGACTAAAGCATCTTCAATAGGCATTCCACTGACTACATTTCGAGCTTTGCCAATTAATTTCACAATCAGGGTAGGAACTCTCTTATCAGGTATTTCGTGTATTACACACAGCCTTTCAAAGGTACTCAGATATTCAACAATATCATCGTCCTCACTGTATGCAGGACATAAATGTTCCCATTTGTGGATTTTTGGAGTGATGGGAGTCGTTGGGGAGTTCTGGTTCTGCTTCTCTAGCAGGTCCAGTTGGTATTCTCGCTCTCTCTCTCTCTCTTTTTCTTCCATGGCCCTTCTGTGTGCAGCCTCTTTTTCTTTTTCCTTTATCTCCAATTCTTTCAGTTGCAATAATCTCTGGTGCTCCCGCTCTTGTTCTGCAGACTAAAAAGCTCCAACTTCGCAATCGCTTCACTGCTTTCACTCGTGTTCCTGCTTTTCTGTCCCCATTTCCCTTTCCGGGAAGAAACAAATAGAAAATAACAAAACTGTGACCTCCTCCTGACTGTTCTTAGTCACTGCACTTAAGATTCACTTAACATCTCAAATATCAGTGCTCCAAGTGTGAACTTCACTTGGAGTAACAAGCCGCGCATACAACCTGCTCGCTGTGCCACTGTGACGTTCCCCTGGTGTTGTCTGGACCAGTGATCTGCTAGGTCACCCCAATCCTTGACTCTGGGAGCCAGCCTTACCCTGCTCTGCTGTGAGACCCCCCCACTCCTGGGCTGGTCACGCCCAGCCTCTGGCATGTAAGCTGCTCCCAGCTACTTGCAACCGAATGACACTAGTCAATATCTCTGGTCCCAGACACAACCCTAGGAACCTCCGTCTTGCAGTGTCCAGTTATGCCCGCTGGACGCTGCAAGCTTATATGAGTTCGTCAATTTAACAAAGAAATTGATCTGTACCAGGCTTGTTATCCCAAGGGGAGTCTCTGACACACTGCAAACCAAGCACATTGCTTCAGGTAGAATAAACAGATTTATTAACTACAAAGGTAGATTTAAGTGATTACAAGTCAGAGCATAACAAGTCAGATTTGGTCAAACGAAATAAAAGCAAAACTCATTCTAAGCTGATCTTAACACTTTCAATGTCCTCACAAACTTAGACGCTTCTCACCACAAGCTGTCTGGTTGCTCTTCAGCCAGGATCTCCCCTTTGACCAGCGTTTCAGTCGCTTGGTGGTGGTGTCTGTAGATGGAGGTGGAAGAGAGAGAACATGGCAAAGGTCTCTCCCTTTTATCATGTCCTTTCTTCCCTCATGACATTGCCGCCCCCCCCCCCCTTCAGAGTCAGGTGAGCATCACCTCATCGCAGTCCCAAACTGCCCAAAGGAAGGGGGTGACTCTCTCTAGGGTCTCTAACAAATCCTTTGTTGCTGCCAGGCTGGGCTGGGTTTGTCCCATCCATGCCCTGATGAAGCGTGAACTGCCTCTCTGCTCTTGGAAAGTTTTTGCCTGGGGTTGCTTTAAGCCAGGGGTTCTCAAACTGGGGGTCGTGACCCCTCGGGGTCGTGAGGTGATTACGTGGGGCTCGTGAGCTGTCAACCTTCACCTCAAACCCTGCTTTGCCTCCAGCATTTATAATGGTGTTAAATATATAAAAAAGTGTTTTTAATTTTTAAGGGGGGTCACATTCAGAGGCTTGCTATGGGAGAGGGGTCACCATGACAAAAGTTTGAGAGCCACTGCTTTAAGCCATGAGGACACATTTTCAGCCTTATAACTATATACATGAAATGATAACCTATAACATCACTGTAACAACAGTGCTCAGTGTATCATGAGCCTTCCGAAGACACCCGACATGACAAACTTTGCATTGGATACCACATAATCATTTTACAAAGATGAACATGGGGGTGTAGGGTGTTCCCCAGAGATACAGAGCGTCACAGGGGGGCGCTGAGGGATCAGGGGGTCATGGGCTGGGCTGGGGAGATTGGGGGGTGCAGTGTCTGAGGGGCCCTGACCAGTTTGAGATTGGGGCTCATGCCCCATTTGGGGGCAGAGGCTTGCCAGGACCATCCCAGACACAGGCATGCCAGGGCTGTTCTGCTAGCTGGTGGCCCTGTGCCCTATACTGCCCCCCAGGCTGGGCCAGGCCCCTTGCAGGGACAGGCTCAGAGCCATGGCCAGCAAGATCATAGAATAGAACATCAGGAGGCATCTAGTCCAACCCCCTGCTCAAAGCAGGACCAACTCCAACTAAATCATCCCAGCCAGGGCTTTGTCAAGCCTGACCTTAAAAACCTCTAAGGAAGGAGATTCCACCACCTCCCTAGGGAACCCTAGGATGGTGCTGGCAACATGGGGTCCAGGCTGGGGAGTCCTGGGGAGGAGGGGAGATCCCTGGCCCCTGCTGAATCCCTCCCACCCGTCCCAGGTGCCCTGGGGATCATGCTGGGCTGCTGCTACCGGCTGAGCTGCCTGCTCTTCATGCTGCCCTATTGGTACGTCTTCTTCTTGGACAAGACGGCCTGGAACAACCACTCCTACCTCTACGGCCTCCTCGGCTTCCAGCTCACCCTCATGGACGCCAACCGCTACTGGTAGGGTGGGGCAGGCAGGGGGCGCATGTCGGGGAGGTGGGGGCAGAGCAAGTGGCAGGGAGGGGCTGAGGGTCGGGGATCTTGAAACCGGCTCCGACTCAGCCCTTTCTCCCCTCGGATCCTCACCTCGGCCCCCCCGCCAAACCCAGGACTCTGTCTGCCTGCTGGGCGCTGACACTGCTGCTGATCGTGGGGGCCCTGGCTGGGACTCCTGGGTCCCCCAGCTGAATGCAGAGCGGGGCGCCAGGCAGCCTGGCTCTGTCCCTCCAGCCAGAGCTGTGGCAAGGCCCCAGGAGCCCTGAGGCCCGAAGAGGTGGGGGGCCCCTTCCCAGGTCCAAAGGCTCTTTCCCCTCCTGGAGAATGAGACCGGCTCCATCTTGGCCCAGCGCCCTGCGCAGGCTGTTGGCGCCTGGAGCCGTTCTATTCACATGGCGTACGGGCTGGCTGGGACGTAGGCTGCATTTCCCAGTGCAGGAGCCCTGCCGAGACGCCCTCACGCTGGTAGCTCTGTCACACGAGAGTCTCCATGATCCGTCTTGTGCGCGACGGCGCGGTGAGTTAACGCAGCCGCCTGCAAAAACCAAACCAACTTCCTCCAGCCGCAAACTCTGCATGACAGCAGTGTGGAGATCGGCCACGCTACTGATGAATACACGTCGCGAACAGCCGTCGGGCTCAGTTTCTGTGAGCCAGGCCTCATGCCAAGGGGCAGGGCAGAGCCCAAGGGCGAGGCACTGCTGTCACTCTGGTGTCATGTTGGTGCCCCTCTCCTGGAGCTGCAGGACGGGTCAATGGGGATCGGGCCCCAAATCTTTATACCCGAACCCCCCATTCTGCCCAAGGGGAAACCTTGCAATCTGAGCACCACCCGCATCTGCTTTGCATTGCCCAGTTGCATGGCTGGACACAAACACCAAGCCACATTGCCACAAATAAACGGCAGCTCCCCGATGAAACCCGACCCAGCCCCACTTCCCCAGCCCCACCTGGGCCCTTCTACATCACTTACGGGCTCAGCTTCCCTAGCCTAGAAATGGCACCTGACCTGCAGCAAAGCCAGATCCCCGGGCGAGACGGGACCATTGTGCTCAGATAGTCTGACCTTGGATAGCACAGGGCTGGCAGAGCAGCCCCAGAGCTGTGGGCGGGGACCTGATGGGGAGGGGGCTGGAGCGCTTCCCTTGGAGCCCAGCTGAGAGCCGCTGCCCAGCCTGCACTAGCCAGGCCGTGGCATAACTACCATGGTGCCTGCGGGGGCGGGGGGGGCAGCTATGGCTGCACCGCTCCCTGTGCTGGTGTGGCCGCGCCCTGACAGCAGCTCCTTCCCCCAGGTCCATCGATGGGCTCCGGCACCCGCGGAAGAGGAACGCTCACGTGCCCCTGTGGAACTACACGGTGCTGCGCATGCAGGTATGGGCGGGGGGTGTCCATGGGCAGTCTCCCTCCACCCACACCCACGCTGCCTCGCTCTGCCCTGCAGGGGAGCACTGCCCTCTGTCGAGTCCCCGGCAAGGAGCCAGCCCCCCTGCTCCGCCAACTCCCACCAATGCCCTCTGCCCTGGGTGTCAGTCAGGACCCCTGCTGGGGCTGGCCGTGCCATGCCGGGGAAATGGGCCCCTTGGCCCGGGGCCCTGGCCATGCTTCTGAAGGGGTGGAGAATGCTGGTGCAGTCCCTTGGGCTGGCCACTCGGGGGCAGTAGCGCACAGAGCACGTCACTGCCTGGGAGGGTGAGGGCAGCAGGACTCTCCCCCCACCCCCCAAAATCTCAGGGCTCTGTGATGGATTGGGAGAGGGGGATGGCCTGGGTGGGGGAGCTGGGAGCCAGGACTCCTGGGTTCTCTCCCCGGCTCTGGGAGGAGAGTGGGGGCTGGTGGGTTAGAGCGGGACAGGCTGGGAGCCAGGACTCCTGGGTTCTATTCCCACCTTTTCTGTTGACTCACTGTGACCGTAGGCCTATCCTGGCCCCTCTCTGCCTCAGTTTCTCCACCTGTGGGGGAGGGATAACAATACCGAGGTGCTCTGAGACCCCGTTAACAGAGGTGCAGGCAGAGATTATCCCCCTCACCTGTAAATGGGGCCCTTTCTCTGTGTGTGAGCTCCCGGGGCCTGCGCTCATCGGTCATCGCTTTCTGCCTGGTGCTGGCTGTGCTGGGAGCCAGGCACTGGCCAGCCCCGGAGCCGGCTGGGGTTGCTCACGGGCGCTTTGTGTCACCCAGATCTTCATCGTCTACTTCATTGCGGGCATCAAGAAGCTGGACGCTGACTGGGTGGAAGGCTACTCCATGGGGTCGCTGTCCCGCCACTGGCTCTTCGACCCCTTCAAGTGAGTGTTGGGGTGACGAGGGGCTGCCCCGGTGGCGGGGTGAGCTCTGGGTTCATCGTCCTGCTGGAGCGCTGCCACTGCAGATGTTGGCACTGGGGGTAGTCGGCCAGGCGCTAACACCGATCGCCCAGCTTGGCCAGTGCCTGCGTGGGGACACCCCCCCCATGGCTGCTCGGCCTGAGCTGGGAGCTCACGCGTGAAACACACGGGCTCACGCCAAGTCACCTGCACACGAACACAACAGGCTCCTGCACTGAAATCCCCCAGCTGGCACCAAGGGAGGCTGGTTGGCTCCTCTGGGTTTGCCTATGCTCCGGACGGGGGGGTCACTTACTGGGCGCTGGGTGACGTGGGGATGTCTGACTGCCCTGTGTCGCCGGGCGTGACCCCCCTATATGCTGGACCCCTGCCATGCTGGGCAGACCATGGTGGTGGGGAGAGTTGGGTGCTGGGAGATAGATGCCCCCCAAGTCTTTGCACCAAGGGTTCAAACACAGGACAATCTGCCCCGAGATCTGGGATCTTGAAGGTTCAGGGCTGGGATCCAAATGGCTGTTACAAAGTGAAGGGGACCTAGGGAGAGGGAAGGAGCCCTGGAAGTTCAGGCTGGGGGGAGCTGGAGGAGGAGGGGGAGGGGGCTGGGGCCTGTATTTCCCTCCCTAGCCCAGCCAGGGCAGCCATCGCCCCCCAGCCGCCACCGGTCAGTGCCATGAAGGGACTGTGGCATTACCAGCCCTGCATCCCCAGGGGCTGCTCGGATACAGGGCTTGGTGCTGCCGTGGGGCAGAGAACACAGGCGGTCCGGGGGGAGCAGGCGACCTGCAGGCGGCTGCAGGGGAGAAGGCTCTCTCATCAGGGCAGGGGATGGGGGTCTCACCTCCTGCGTGCTCCCCAGGCTGGTGCTGTCTGAGGAGATGACCAGCCTGCTGGTGGTGCATGGCGGAGGCCTGGTGCTGGACCTGACAGCTGGTTACCTGCTGTTCTTCGACACCACCCGCCCGGCAGCGCTCGTCTTCGTCTCCTACTTCCACTGCATGAACTCGCAGCTCTTCAGCATTGGTAAGGGGACTGGTGTGGGGACGGAACCCAGGAGTCCTGCTTCTCCCCCCCCCCCCCCCCCCCCCCCCCCCCCCCCCCCCCCCCCC